AAAAAATAGAACTAAAAGAAAAGACTTAGTCCCCTCTTTAACAAATCTTAACAACACTTTGGCCATAACTGACAGTGAAAAAGCAAATTTATTCGGTAACCACCTATCAGAAACTTTCCAACCCCACTCAGATACAAATGCTAACATAACGACACACTTAAAAAATGTTCAAACTTTTCTTAACAGTCTACTACCTATGTCACTGCTAGCTAAACCAATTACACCCCAAGAAATAAAATCAAATATTACTAAACTATGCAACAACAAATCTCCAGGGTACGATCTAATTTATAACAAAATTCTCAAAAAACTAACAAACAAAACCATACGTCTTCTGACTCATATATACAACGCAATGCTCAGGTTGTTATACATTCCTCCGATCTGGAAATTCTCAACAATAATATTAATTGCTAAGCCAGAAAAACCAAAGCATTTAGTAACTTCATACCACCCGATAAGTTTACTATCGACGTTAGCGAACTTTTCGAAAATCCTTAAAATAATAACCCCTATTATTAAAGAAAAGAATATCATCCCAAATACTCAATTTGGATTCCGATCATATCATTCAACAATCCACCAAATACATAGAATCACCGATAAAATATCAACATCATTAGAAAAAAAAAACACTGCCCATGTAATTCCTTGATATCACGCAAGCATTCGATCATGTTTGGCATGACGGATTACTGTTCAAATTAAAATCGTTTCTACCTGTTCCATATTTCCTCATTTTAAAATCTTACTTAGAAGACCGATATTTCACTGTTAAGCATAACAATTCTTATTCTCCTTACTATAAAATTAAAGCAGGAGTACCACAGGGAAGTGACCTATCACCTATACTCTACAATATATATACATCAGATATACCGAAAACAAACCATACAACTCTAGCAACATATGCAGATGATATCGCCATACTAACATCAAAAAATGACCCAAACATAGCCACTCATGACATACAATTCTATTTAAATCAAATTTCCAACTGGACTAAAAAATGGAAGATTAAAATTAATGAAAAGAAATCAGTTCAAATAAATTTTTCTCTTAGTAAAAAAGAATGTCCTCAACTATCACTAAATAATGTACTAATTCCTATCAAAAATATAACCAAATACCTAGGAGTTCATCTAGATATAAGACTTATCTGGGCCCATCACACTAAACAAAAAAGAAAACAATCTAATACACGCCTACATCTCCTTCGTCCATTATTATCTCCTTCTATGAGTATAAAAAAAAATAAATATATTAATATATAAAACGATTATTACTCCTCTTTGGTCATATAGTATACAAATCTGGGGCCAAGCCAAACCATCTAAACCATCTCATGCAAGCTTTTCAGTCCATATTTCTTAGATAAATAACTGGTGCCCCTTGGTATATGACCATCGACGCATTACATAAGGATCTACAAATTTTAACAGTCAACGAATTAACAACTCGTCACTACAAAAAATTCCTCTCCAAACTGCACTTAAACCAAAATCCTCTTATTTCTCGCATGTCCTCTATAACCATTCCCAGCAACCTTCCAAGGAGGTTAAAAATAAAATGGCCAAGAGACGCCTTTACCTAACAAAAAAACAAAGGTCCCTATAACATAAACCCATCAAACTAATAAGGTACTGTTGATGGATGGTTTTCCTCAAGCAAGGCCGTAACTGGAAAAAAATTTCGAGGGGGGGGTCTAACATTATTATTTAATACAATTTATAGTTTATAAACTATATTCACCGCTAAAATATTTCTACTTATGAAAATTTCGGAGGGGGGTCCGGACCCCTGGACCTCCCCCCAGTTACGGCCTTGCCCTCAATATAAACATGTCATGTTTTATATTATATATTATCATATTTACTTATTGTACTACTTGTTGTATAGATCGTGAATATGCATTTAAATAAAAAAAAAAAAAAAAAAAATACACATGAAAATAGTAAATGGAATGGTTTGTGTCAAATCAAGTCAGCGGTAAATTGGCTAAAAATTTCAGCCGGGGAAATTAACGCTTGACCGGCCCACCATCCAATAATCACAATTTTCCATAAGTCTCCTTTATTCATGGATTAAATGCTTGATGTATTAAAATTACTTTGATCGGTTGAGACTTAAAAAACTATATTTAACAACGCTTTACAAACTTGGTGTGCATTTTGTTATTATACTCGTATATTATTGTGATAATTGAGGGGCCCTCCGAATTAATTTTCCCCAGACCCTAACAATTTTTAGGATATATATATATTGTTAGTTTGATAAAAATTAAATGTTAAACATTCAAATAAAATTCAATATTATTAAATTAAATATTTGTAAACATAAATATCATAAAATCGTGGGGACCCTTGGGTTGTAGCCTACTTAGTCCTCCTCCTAATCTAGTACTACCGTTTTTAATTGAATTAAATAGTATTGTTATCCGCATCAAATCTCTCGTATTGCACCGAACATAAAGTGTTTTATAAAACTCGTGTTTCTCTCAAACTCTTCCAGTATTTACAATTATGTCCATATTAGAGACGGCGATCGAAGATTTTTTTGAGAAATTTTATCTTAGATAACTTTTTATAACTTTTAATAACTAATTAGATAACTTAGCATTATTTATCTAAATAAGATAAAAGATGACAAAAAATCTATATAGATAATTTATCTAGATAAGTCCCAACTATGGTCACAAATCATTATATCATAATTTGGATAATATATTTATGGATAAAGTATGATATATTTATACAGTATCTTACCTAATTGATAAACATATCTATACAGTAAATTATATATTTACATATTATAAGTACTTGATTAATTTTCCCTACGGTAATATTGGTCTTACTTAGTACTTACGTATCTCATGGTGGTTGTGTTTTTCTCTCCGAAGTGTCGATAATTTTCAAAATTCAATAAATCACTACTGAGCACCTTATATATTCAAATACCAAAATGGATTAAAACGATACATAGCTTACTTTTTATATCCTTTGATTTCATGATAATATATCAACAACGTGTAGGAAACAAGGAAGACTAACTAATTGTATCAGTTGTTGTGAACCTCATTGCCGAAATTAACATGTCATTATGCTCCGTACATACGATTTCATGCTTAAAATTTAAAACTGAGATTAAACTATTGTTCAGTTCAAAACACCGCATATAATAAATATAAAGAAATTAATACCTAAGTACGTAAAAGTATACAAATGAACGAGTTGCCTACGACCTACCTTATAGCGTTGTGCTTATAGAATAATTTAGATGATTATGAATACTCTGAATATCAATACCACGATTAGTCATCAATATATATATATAATAGATTATTTTCACTGTATACAATTTTTACTCAAAACTAGTAAAATTTGCGGCGATTCACACATACACACTTACGAGTATACAATTCATGATTTTAGAGTGAGTTGGCTGCATGTTTGCCTTCCATGAATATCTTTGAAAAATTGAAAAATATTATTCCTCCTTTTAATAGCATTATAACAACTTAATATATAATAATAATAATAATAATAATAATAACTTGTTTAAACCTCATTTTATATATATATATATATATATACATACATACATACATACAATATATCTACAAAATTAGTTGCTTATTTGAATAGTTAAATTTACGTTAATTAAGTATACGAGTGTGTCATAGTGGTACGTAACAGACCCCTCCTTCCAAAAACAAAACATTGCATCCGCATTCAATGACAAATATTTAAATTTTTCCTTTCTTACATCAATTTATTTTATTTTTTTAAAATAATTAATTTGAGTTCTATGTTTACGAGTATCTACAATGATATAGACTCTGTATCATTGTGGCTGATTTTATTTAGCAGCAGGACCAGGAAGAAATAAATGTTGCAACAAATAGCTATATATAGGAATTTTTGTTTGTTTTTAAGTTAGTGTTAAAAATATATATTTTGTTTAGTTTGAAGAGTAAAGAAGATATTTTTGATCCTTATGGCATCCCTGTATTAATTTGTTTGGTATCTGAGTTGGTGCCATCTCTTTAAACGGTAAATGTTCGAAAGTTAATATTTAATGATGTTTACGATTTTTATAATAACTGTGGGTGTGCATTTTAATTTATAAAACAGTATTTATTAAGTGCGCTTAAATGCAACTATTTCATTTGCAACATGCCATTACATTTTTTTTATACAAAAAAAATGTACATTATACCATTATTTTGGTCTTACCTTACAACAATGAATTTATATACTTACTAAATGTATAATACAATAAACATTTTTACATCACACAATAACGAGTATAAAATATATGCAACCTATAACCTCTTTATGTTACGATTATAAAAAGCTTGTATTGAAGTTGATATAGAGTTATATCGAACAGAATAAAATAATTATTATTTTGTCGTGGAAATAGTGCGAGCAAAAATGTTATTAAGATAATTAAATGTTAAAAAAAATCACTATTCGCTTAATTCTGCAGTTGCAACGACTCTTAAAGGTTCAAACAAATTAAAAACAATACTTCTTATCTAAAAAATTAATAAAACCAAACTACGAAAAAAAACCACGTCCGCTCTTTATGTGTACCTAATTTTAATATAATAATACAAATACAATTATTAATATATCGTAAGAAATATTGTGCTTACTGGGAAAAATATATTATATCTAACTAATTTATATTTTTTGTTCGGATCAACTTCTGTGAATTATATTTCAAATTCAACTTTTTTTTCGCAATCTTCTTACACAACAAAAATGTGTAGACATAAAACAAAAATAAAATGTGGAACATGAAAAAATTAATTTAAACATTGTTTTAATGTTAAATCTCATTTTCTCTTCCGATGCGGACAATTTTATCCAGGTCATCAAATTTGCAAATTTAACCTCCCTCCTCCTTAAATGAAAATCTAGGTCTAAATACGCTTCTGTTTTTCAACACACATTTTATAATTTCGCCTTATAATCAAAATAAAAAGACAATATATACCTACTATTTTTTTTCTATTGCGGATTAAATATGTTTGTTTATTTTACATGTAACATAAAATACAATTATTCAATGACTATTATCTCACCAACTACAATAGGTCAATAAATATTATTGTCTATTGTATACTTGTTTCGAACATAGGCGGACATTTGGTTGAATTTTTTTTTGTGGGGGGGGGGGGGGCTATAATAATTCAATGTAAAATAACCCGAAGGGGCTTCGCTCCCTAACCCGTTTCGATTTTGGGGGACTATTAAAATATTTGGGAGTCTAAGCTCCCCAAGCCCCCCTGATATCCGCCTATGGTTCCAAAACTCGAATAATATTTGCAAGTTGTAATTTAGTAGGTAAGTAATCAAGAAAATGTTTTTCACTCGTGTCATTGATCACTCCCGTTTATCGAAATATCAGATAGAAAATCATGTGGCAAATAACTCCTTTTCGTAATACCTATATCTTTATCATACATTAATAATATTAAGTAATACTATATTAATAGTAATGTACAAGGCCGTATCTAGAAATTTTTTTCGGGATGGGTCCAAAATATGTATTTTATAATTTTATTGAATTTAGATTTTAATTTTTGATATTTGGTTAAAAATAAGACAGAAAAAAAATTTAATCTTCTTTTATTAAAATTAATACCATATTTTCATATGATATTGTACTATAAAACTAAAAGCAGTCAAAAATTAAGGTCCGCTCAAACCGAAACAGTAGCGGTGACGGTAACGGCAGCGTTATCTATCACTTTTTAAATACCGCTGATCTAACCTAACCGAAGAACGAAATATTTCGCCGAAAATTACTAGTCAACATTGTGACACCCATGCGCGTATATTTATTTTAGTTATAATTATATTTTTATTTATTAATATTAATATTTAAAATACAAAACAACAAATTAAAAATATTATCTTTTTTTCTCATATCCTTGAATTCTGGAAGTGTCATATTATACATGATGGGATATTCTTTAACAATAGCTATTAACTGTTCCACTTTATTGGTCATTTTTATAATAAATAATACATTTTAAGCGAGAGAATCATACATTCAAACACCACGATTACGATGAATAGATGTTTGAATATAAAGTCAAAATATATCATACAATGTAATGATGAGCTTTCTGTAGATATTAATATATTAATAATAAAATGAAGATAACTCATAGTTGAAAATGTACAACTAATAATCGCAGCGGGAAGTGAAAAATGTAGTGTCTACAATGCAAAATAAAAATATCGCGCTTAAACTTGCGATAACATTTTCGCCGCGGTATTAATTTCGTGCGCCCGTATTAAAACCCATGGACATTAAATTTCGCTGCCGCTACCGCCACCGCTTCGGTTTGAGCGGACCTTAAATTGAAGCTTAAGTCATTTTTTACTTAAAATATTAATGTTGGTATTAAAAAAAAATTATTATTTTAAACATTCGTAAAATATCAAAGAAATTTCGGGGGGAGGGGGTACAGACACCCTGGACCCCCCAGATATGGCCTTGGCAGTGACGTATTTTCAATTTTTTCTGGCAGGGGTCCACAGCTTATACATAATTAATTTAAACTATATATTATATTGTAATAGTTACGTCCTTGTGTAGTTTTTAGAGGAAGTTGAACTAAATATATAATGTAATAATCGTATAGTCTTATGTAATATTATATATATATATATATGTACCTATATATTGTATTTAACATTATATATTGCAAAGTATTGTTATAAAATAATACTTTATTGAATAATAAAATTCCAGTTATCTCGATTTTTTGGCCAATTCCTCTATTACTTCATCAACAGTAATTTCAACTTCCCTGTGAATGTTTAACATAGCCAATTTTGCAAATATGTAAGAATTTTAGTTTATTTTTTGGAGAGATTCTGGGGAGGGTCCAGTACCCCTGGACCCTCCCACCACCCGTAAATACGCCACTGGGCCTTGGTAATGTAGTTTGATTTCAAACTTGATGATGTATTTTCATTTTTATGGAACAAACCTAAATTAATCATCATCATGAGACACTTCAACCATTGATTAAACAATATTATTTATCAAATAAAATTGAACATTGAATACAAATTGGACGAATATTAGGACTTTGAACAATTTTTCAAGTCGAAAAAAAAAATGTTTGTTCTTGTAATTACGAGTACTTCATTTTACTCTATTTAAATCGAGTATACGACTTAAATTAAGTATTCAACTTGAATCAAGTACTCAAGTTTATTTCACTACTTTACTGAGAAATAAATGTTTAAACTATAAATAACTGAGCCAAATATTTCCAATAGGAAGTACCAGAAAGGTATTATTATTATTTTTTTTTTATATTAATATTTATGTATAAATAAGAAATTTCAAAAAAATATAACTTGATAGATCATTTTTAAATCAACTATGAAAAGCTAAATTATTTCAACTACCGAATAAACTAGTTAAGTTAAAAAGCTTATTAGAAAATAAGCTAACTAGTAAAGTTAAAAAGTTAAAAAAAATTACTTTTTAACTTAACTTTTTAACTAGTTAATGCCCACTTTTGAACATTTTTCCCTTCACTGAGAGGAATGCTGTACAAAACGTCAACCGTCAAAATGGTCACAATGTTATTTAGTTATCGTGATAAACTGATAACTGCATATTTGTCTATGAATGGGCTTACAGGCTTAGCATTACTAAATATTCATAGAAAAATTGAAATAAATATTGATGATGTAATTAATAGATTCACAAGTACCTATTAAAAAAAGAAGTATAGATTTTGTTTTGTAAATGAAAATGTGCTTTTTTTAAAATGTATAAATATATATATATTATAGATTTCATCGAACCACAAAAATATGATGGAATACATAATATTGATTAGAGCAGCTGTGATGTAATCAATAATTACAATCATACTAGTTTTTAAGGGCAGCAGGACAAGACAATTAGTCAATCAAACACCAGGTCTTGACGGATCATTTTTAGTAGAAAATTTAATTTTAGCCCTTCTGGGACCACAGGCATTAATAAAAACTTTAAAAAAATTGAAACTATACCAGAAGTGAGTATTGATCATAATTACATAAAAACTATTAATATTTAGTATTACCTCTTTTAAATTGTAATATGCAAATGAATACATTTTGTTAAATACCTCATTGCTAGAAATTAAGTAACAATTACTAATTATATTCTTTAAGGACAAGATTTTAAAAAATAAGCATTTATACATAGAACATAGAATGTTTTTATATTTGATAATATAATTATTATTATTTTACTTTGCAGTCGGCACCAATTGCATCAGCAATGGAGTTGTATTTGTCTTTCCTGAAATCATAAATTTCATTATAATATTACAACTTGTTTAATATTAGAATTTTAAAACAATATAACAATCATCAATATTTATTAAAATAAATTAAATTTAATACAAAATATAATATGCACTGTACAAAAAAAAAAAAAAAGTGTTGATAACTTAAAATTCTAAGGCAAAAATAAAAAAATTGACTAATTTATTTTATAATCTATAATTCTAATTTTAAATTATTGAGTTATCAATACATAAATTGTATATTAGTAAAAACAGAAACCTAATATAATTTAAAAAACCACAGTAAGTATAAATATTAAGTTAAACCAAAAAAAGTTGGTTTTATTATACATAATTGTTAGAAAATGGTTGATATCTTATAAAGTTAAATAAAATATTTAATAATCTTATACTATATTGTTTTGTTTTTTTTTTACCTTAAAAGACATTCTAGTTCTTTCTTTATGTTAGTTACTACTGGAGGACCATTGTATATAAAAGATGTATATATTTGTACAAGTGAAGCTCCAGCTTTAATTTTTGCATATGCGTCTTGACCATTAAATACTCCTCCAACACCAATAATTGGAATTTCACCTAAATAATATTGTGTAAAAAAATGTATTATATTATAATTAAAATATTATTTTATTATTGTATTGTTTTTAATCTTTATCCGTTACGGATGTTGGAAAGATGTTTACTCTTAGGAAGTTTTGGGATTATTCTCTCTGGAAAATCATATACCCGCAGAGACTGCTGGTGCCACCCACCTGGTGGTAGAGTTAGAATCAGTGACAGCGCGCATTGGCGCTGTTGTCTTATTCAGCTTAGCCACTAAGTCTGAAATGTTTAATTACCCTTTGTCATTCTATAAAATTCTGATATTAATTTTGTAGACATTTCCTGCAAAGGTTTTCCACTAAGACCACCTGGTTCTAATGAATTTGGATTATCATAAACACCTACTCGTGTAACAGTTGTATTTGAAATTATTAATCCATCAACACGATACTGAAACAAAAAAGAAAAACAATTTATACACTTCTTTTGTAGATAAAAATAAAATTACCTTTTTATCATTAACCACATCAGCAATATCTTTTTTATCTTGTTCGGTAAGATCAGGAGATATTTTTAATAATAAAGGTATTTTATTATCTTTACAATACTTATTTCTTGCTTCAATTACATTTGAAAGAAGCTTCATAAGATCTTTTTTTTTTTGTAAATTTCTCAGACCAGGTGTATTAGGACTATAAGCAAATGTTTACATAAATACTTTTTATATTAATGCATTTATTATTAATTAAATATTTTCTTTTTTTTACCTGGAAATATTTATTACAAAATAATCTGCAGTTGAAGCAAACTTTTCAATACCTTTCACATAATCAGCATCTGCATCTTCAGACTCTTTATTTTTTCCTAAATTCACACCGATTATACCATTAAAATTTTGATTGTGTTTGAGTTGAACAAGCCTTTCAAATACAACATTATGACCATCACTATTGAATCCATATCTAACTTTTACAATTTATTAATTAAACATAAATATCAAATAACTAAGGAACATTAAATTTAATATTTACCTATTGATAATAGCTTGATTATTTAAAAGTCTAAACACTCTTGGTTTTTCATTACCCGGTTGAGGTAGAGGTGTTATTGAACCAACTTCTACAAATCCAAATCCTACATTATGTAATGCTTTTATTATTTCACCTTGTTTATCCAATCCGGCTGCAAGACCGATTGGATTATTAAAATTCAAATTCCACAACTTAGTTTTCTATAAATATAAGTTTACATATTTATTAATTTAGTCTTCATTGATTCGGTAATTCAACTAAAAAATTTAAATCTTACTAATAGAGGTGGGTCATTGTACATTGATTTTGGTATAAATCCATATTTCCCAGCTAATAATAAAAGGTTATGAGCTTTTTCTGGATCACACATGAAAAATGCTGGAATAACATATTTATTGTAAAATTTTTCATTGAGTGTTATCAAATTTGTTCCAGCAAACAGAAAAAATCCTCCAGAAGTAATGTAAAAAAAAGACCGAAATGGACTCTAAACAAATCATTAAAATTCATAAAGTGAATGTAAAATTGTGTATACAACTAATACAGCAGATATTTAACTATTCAAAAGTGTAACATAATCATAATGAAGTTATAGTTCTAAGCATTTAAGATCAAATCACTATTGAAGCGTACAAATTTTAAATTTGACAAATAGGTATAATAAATACCAGACTCACCATAGTGTAAGACAGTAAACGGAACTGACGTTAATCAATGTTTCATACAATCGCACGCTAAAAATAAGCCACTAAGTCACAGACAGGTTTACTGAAAATATAAACTAGCGATAAGTTGAATCCGTCATTTTTCATACGTCGAAGTAAATATACTTTATTTTTAAAAAAAACTGATGTAACTGATTAATTTTTCAAAAAATGTATTTGCTATCAATGTAGCAAAAATTCAAAACTAGAATTTTTAAGGTTATCACATATGATACTATCACAGAATAAATAATTTAATTAATCTGTGATGTATTATATATTTTATTAAAGATTGATTTGTTGTAATGAGAATATGTACGGTCACATACTTCTATATTAGAAGTACATATTAGAAACATTCTATATTATATGTCTGTGTGTACAGTACATCGTGTCATAGAACCTGTTCGATGATTCTATGAAGGCCAAAATTCTTTTCTCAGACAGCTTCATTTTGAGATCTAACAAAACAACTCATAACGGATAACAAAAACAGACATACCACAGAATAGATGAAATCAGAATGGACACTGATAAGAAATTACACGGGCTCTTATGGGAGTACGGTAATTTGAGCTAAATTGCATCTAGTGTTACCACCAATTACAGGGAAAAAAAAATTGTATATAATTCTTTGTACCGTACAATAACTTTATCTTGGCGGTTGATTTGAATTGTAATGTATTACTTACGGACAAGTATAATATTTATGATATTTGCATAGTGACAATAATCTTTTATACTGAGTAATTCAATAAAATGATTAAATAAACCACTAACCTCAAAAAATAATTCTGTATTGCGTATAATACTAAAAAAAAAGGGGAAATTTTTACTTTACGGGACACCCAAAATTTCGGATTTTTTCTTGTCAACTTATGTATTTTCTAACGCTGTGTTAATATTGCTTGTTAACATAATTTTCTTGTAGTGAGCCAGAATACCCATTTAGTAGAACAGGTAGCCTTTACAGTTGGTGGTTGTATACCGGAACATAGAGCACATGTTGTCGGTAAATCGGCTGACGTTTTGCAGTCTTCGGTAAATGATCTTGGTTAAATTTAACGCAGTGTGGAGGGTGGATGCAAAATATCAGAGTGTGTCTGTATGATTGACACCACATGAATTTTAGCTGATGGCAAACTTTTCTTAGTTTTTCAACGATAACTCTAAAGTGATGCAGTTTAATCAGTTTGAATACATTCATGTAAAATTTGTTGTTATCAAAGTTAACATAAAATAATGACAGAGTCAGTCGTTTTATTCTATATATTTTAAATTTTCTGGACAGTGAAACCTATTTCAGTTAGAGCTATTTCGATAGCATCAATGGAACTATGATGCAAATGATGAATTATCACTTTGATTGGATGAGTATGGTGTGGTGTAAATGTGTGGAATGATAAATTATCCTAACTCATGAGATAATTAAAAAAAAATGACTGTTATGTAGACTGCTTTGATTTTTAGGAAATCTTTGAAATTGAATAAGTAAAGTCTTCTGGCCCCGCGATGGAGATTATATGATGTTTTAGCACTTGATGGTTGGAAATATTTTTAATATATATATATAGGTGCTGACTTATGAGTTATAGTTCTAGTTTAACATAATTTCACCTAGGGTATGAGGCTTTTTTTATCTTCAGAGATTGATACATATCCGTTTGGAGTGACGAAGATTATGAAAGATTACGTTTAGAAAGATAATTGTTGATAGATTGATCTATTTATATATAATTATATAACACTTGGTCTTAAAGAAAATAATATTATTTTATTATGATTGTGATAAAGCATTGCTATTAGGATATCACTAACGGGCACGATACATATTGATATAGTAACGGTCAATACATCACTGAACTACATAATAATAATTACTTTCATTACTTATACAATACTCGGTTGCCTTTTGGATTTGGACTCGCACAACAAACATTCAAATTTATCATTATAATCTAAAATTTGTTCTGCACTTGACAAACATTATTATACTATTCATCTATTACAAGTATCACATTGCACCCAATCTACACCGTTCTTGTTTATCGCTCTATGATTTATGTCTGTACACCCGCAATACAAACAAATATCTCTCATGAAATCTGATTTTTTTAACAGCAGCTTTTTTAAGTACATTCTATGTAACATTGGGTCAAAGTCTTTACTAAAATGAACGTTTTCAGTGTAATTTACACTCTGCATAGTACACAGGGCCGGCCCTTGGGTAGGTCAACTGGGACATTTGTCCTAGGCCCCGCGCGAATTTTAGGGCCCCACGCTTAGGTCATGAGAGCTAGGTATATATATATAATTTAATTAAAAAAATATATATCATAGAATTAAAGATTTATGTTTTTGTAGTATTTATTTGTGATGGGCAACGATATCAATAATTCGATAAAATGTCGATATCGTGACACATTTTCGACACCGATATCATTCTAGTTGTACAATATATTGCAATATCAAATTGAAGAAAATGAATACAGTACACCTACCATACAAGAATATTTTTTAGATTTTGTAACGGTCGATTCTACTACCGGTTTAAATTTGTCAGAAGTTCTGATCACACAACTTAAATTATATAAAATAAACATTGAAAATTGCCGAAGTCAGGCTTATGACAACGGATCGAACATGACAGGAAAATATCAAGGAGATCAATCCCGAATCTTAAATATAAATCCTCGAGCATTTTTTACTCCTTGCGCTGCCCATAATTTAAATTTAGTCCTGTGTGATGCTACTAAAAATTCAACTATAGCCATTACATTTTTTGGTATAATTCGACGTGTTTATACATTATTTTCGGCATCAACATATCGATGGAGTATCATTAAAAAAATTGTACAGTATTCACGATTAAACAATGGTCAAAAATGAGGTAGGAGAGCCGTATAAATAGCGTAAAAGTTTTACGTTTTCAACTCTCAAATATTTTAAATGCTTTAGAAGAAGTTTCTGAGACAGCTAATGATTTGATGGCCCGAAGTGAGACTGTTTCACTATCAAATTAAATCGGTAATTATAAATTTATATTGAGTCTTGTGATTTGGTATGATATTTTAACAGAAGTAAATATTGCGAGTAAAAGTTTACAAGATCATAATACGGATATAAATACTTCTGTAAAAATTGTTCAAAGTCTTATACAGTTTTTGCATCAATATAGAGAAAATGGGTTTAATTTTGCGAAAATTGCTGCTAAAAAATTAGCCGAAGATGCCGATATTGCAGTTGCTTTCAAAAATCCAAGAGTAAGAAAAAAGACGAAATTATTCGATTATGAAAATGTCGACGAACCTGTGTTAAATAATGAAGATCGGTTTCGTACAAATTATATTTTCATCGTTCTTGACCATGCAATACAGTCGATTGAGAAACGCTTTAATCAGTTGAAGACTTATTCGGACAATTTTGGATTTTTACATCGCATTGGAAAGTTGAAAATAATGGAAAATGATAATATATTAAAACACTGTAAAGATTTACAAATAATTTTAACAGATAATAATTTAAAAGATATAGATGGATTAGATTTATTTTCCGAACTAATTATTTTTCGATCTTTAGTTGACGAAGATACAAATACGCTCCAGGCACTTAATATTTTAAAAACAACTCACGGATCATTTCCTAATCTAACCATTGCTCTTAGAATAATGCTAACTATTCATGTGACATCAGCTTGTGCAGAAAGAAGTTTTTCAAAGCTAAAATTAATAAAGACTTATTTGCGCAATCGGTTAGGCCAAGGCAAACTTTCTGAACTAGCTTTAATATCAATTGAAGAAGAAATATCGTCCACCATCGACTACAAACATCTCATCGACATCTTCGCTTCGAAAAAGTCTAGAAAGAAAATGTTTAGGTAAGTTTTAATATGATAATTTCTATTTTACTTTATTTTAATTGTTAATGATATTATGATAAAAAGAATTAATCATGTATATTATATATTTACTTTCCATGATAAAACAGTTTAAAGAATATTTGATTTTAATTATTAATTATTATATTCCAATAGAATAAAATACCTAATAATAATTTTTTTGTTTTTATTATTTTTTTTTTTTTTTTTTTTTGTATATGAAGATCGCTGGGTCTCACTGAGAAGTTTCGTATGAAGACAAAAAAAAAAATTAAAAAATATATGAACTAGACTGAAATGCATACTAAATATATCTGGGTAGAAAGAAAAATAATAATAATATATATAATGAAAACTGGAAAAAGTATATCAAATATATGTACATATTTTAAAAAAAAAAAACATTGAAAATTATTTTGTCCGGGGCCCCGCAAAAACTAGGGCCGGCCCTGATAGTACAACACATAGACCACACAGTTCAATTTATCTTTTTGAATAGGATAGTTGTATAGTATCTTTAATTCCATCTTAGGCCACACATTTCCTATACTTCCATATACATGATTTTTTTTTAACTCCCCGAGTAAACAAATAAAATATTGACGACATTTATTTTCTATACTTTCAAATGGGTCCATAAAATAAAATTTACCATTTCTAAAATCTGCGAAAGCAATCACCCAATAGTTTCCGTTTATATGCAATGGCATTACAAGTAAACATTTTTCTGGAACTATTAAAGTTTTTAGGTTTGTCGTTTTCCTTGAAGGCTGAGCATTATTATTCAAAAAGCCTGAAATAGCACAGCTCAATACTTTAATTATAATATCCTTGTGTTTGCAATGTATCTCTCTTAATAAACCCAATAGTATATCAATTACAAAATTATTCAGCCACATTTTTTTCAGATGTATAATCAGATAATGTGTCATAGTCACTGAAATATAGCTCTGTTATCTTGGTAATATCTTTCACATCATTGTATATTCCAACCACGTATTCCAATGGTTTTCCATTCTTCTTCAAGACCGGACCAAAATAGTTAATATCCTTTGGTAATCTGTTTTCATATACAGCATCGTTGGATCGCTGACCATCTACTGGAGATTTGTAACTTTTTACAGTTACCAAAGAATCAGATAATATCTTTGTAATTGGTGTTACATTTCCATCCGATTGTATTGAATCAAATGATTCAGAAAGCACATTTACGCTTGGTGTTACACAATTATTGTATTCAATTGTTTTTAATAGTGGTGAAGAGTTGACAATGTTAACATCAATATTGGATTTGAGTTTTTTTAAAACATTATTTAAATGACCTTTGAAGTAAAAACTTTTTTGTTTCTTTCTCGATTTCCAGTGTTCCTTTTTTTCGCCTTCATCATCATCAGATGAAATAAGCTCAACCAACTTAAAATTTTTTTTACTGATTTTAAAGACTTCTTTATTTTATACTGGATACTTTTTCGTAGCAACTGCATGATAAATATTGATAATAAAATCTCGATGTAGTAGGATGTCGTAACTTTTAATGTTCGTGACACTGCAACTCCTTAAATATTACTTAATGGAAGGTAAGAGCTACCCGGTCATTATAATTACGAGTTACGAATTACGATAGATTTTTATTTCTTAGTAAAACGATACGGTGGTATGGGTTGCTGATGGCAATAATAATTAGTGACAACTTGTAAAAATAAATATTTTATTCTTAAAACAATTTTCACGCTTGTGAAGGCTCAAGTATAATGTAATAATTCATAAACAATACAGTCTGTATCCAGGACTGTTAGGGTGTTCTTTAATTTTCAATTTCAAAATATTTTTGGTCTTACCCCTAAATCGGTGTGTATATATATAAAAATGAACTGCAAGAAATGTTAGATCAATTAAATAAAGTTAACCCGTACCGACTTGAAGTTGAAGTTTGAACTTAATACATTTTTAAATAATTCTAGACATTTCTGCGACCGCGGCGGCTGCGTCCAATGTGTGGCCGAACACCAAAGACAGTATTTGGAATTTATAGGTAAAAATAATTATAATGGCAGTTCAGGTCCTACAGGAATCGTCAATCTAAAAGAGAAAAAGAAGAAGAAAAAAAATAATTATACTACTTGTACCTTTATTGTTTTCTCAATATTTTTGTTATCGTTATTCACAAATCTGGGCATTAACGAGTTCTAAATTAAAATTGAGTTAATATTAACTAAGTTTATTATTCGTTACTTTGTTTTCGAAAAAACTTTACTTTAAAAAGTTACTCTATTAATGTATATAACTTGTTAACTTAAAGTTAAATATAAAATTAAGTTAAATGTTTATACAAACCAATTTTTCAATTAATTTTGTTTGTCTGATAAATATTATAATATGTAGGTAATCGATATTTTCTCACATGGTTTACAAAAAAATCAGTGGGATTAAATAAATAGATTTACTATGTATATATATACATATATGAAATGTATATATCATATATTGAAATACTACATTATTAAAATACCACTTGTATTTATAAAATTAATTTTTAATCGCAGAAATGTTATTTTTATTACCGATGAGAAAGTGTGTAGTCATTTTAATATTAATAACAACTCGGACGTATTTTTAATATAGTATTTAATTAGTGACCGCGTAAATCGTAATGTTCATATAGAATTTGTGTGCGAGATGCCAACTAGTAGACAATTCTCATCGACTGTAATATTATGGAATTTGGGAAGGGGCTTGGGTGTGCTTAGCACCCCCAAACGTTTTCATATTAATTTACTTTTAAATACTCATTACTCGTTATCTGTAGAAAAACAGAGTTTTTACTGTATAACAGGTATAATAATGGTAGAGTCCTTCGTCTCTTTTATCATCGAACTGGATAATAGTAATAGGTAGGATTGCCAGATTTTAAAATCCTTAAACAGATAAATCATATTGAATGAACCTTTTTTTTATTTTGATGTGAAAACAAAAATAAGTATATCATTTTGCGATTTAAATATTTATGAGCTAATACAAAAATACATTATTGTTGTATATAATCATCAGAACCGTAGCAAGGGGTACGGGGCTAGAGGTACCTACCCCGTACGCAATTCCCAAGGGCGCAAAAATGAAAAATTTGCAATTCAATTGTTACTTATAAATTAAAGCAATATTATGTATTTTTGTAATTTCTTATATAACTTATAAATATTATGTTATACCTATGAAGTTCAAAAATATAACATAATATAGATTTTATATTCTATGGTTTATTTCTATAGGTTTATAGTGTGAACCTAGTTATAATTATTATGAATATTTATATTTTAATAAGTTATTGATTTAGATAAAATTAAATAACGCTTACTTAATAATAATAACGCTTAATTTTTATAAGGAGAAATCATTATTTATATTACATCTATAAAAAAAATTCAGTTTTTTTGTGAATTTTTTTATAAATTATAATACATAAGGGCGTATTTTGAAGTTTCGCACGGGCACAATATTTGTTTTCACGGCCCTGATAACCATACCGATTAGATTACCATAATATAATGATATAATATACAATATTATTCTACATTTTATTATTAAATAATATAATATTAAATGTTATTTTCTCTCAGCTTCAATTAACCGGAACATTTTAATAGACCAAATTTTTTAATAAACATTAAATTAAATTTTAATTTAATTTACATAAATATTAAAAATGAATGTAAAAAACAGTAAGTTTCGTAAAACCGTAGGTATAATAATTTACTCAAACACTTATAAAATAAAATTCAGACTAACGATTTTTAAAAAATATTCAGTATAAGTAGATAAGTATTTGAGTACACAAGAAACACAACAACTTTTTAAATAATTATTAATTATTGGTGGGAACACAGTAGAAACTACAGGGCACAGTTTACAATTTAACAGACAACTTACAGTTCGGGTTCAAATCCCCCCACCAGGTTAAAAAAGAAAGAAAATTGTTTTATTATTGATGACATGTAATATATTCATAATTTCATTATTAATCTTTGAACTTAAAATATACAACGATACAAATATTATAATTAAATAATTATATTGATGAGTGAAAAGTTTTGTTAACTACGCTGTTTTTATATTCCAATAGCTACTAATTTACTGTAATGTAAAAGTAAACTGTAAATTGGTAAAAAAATTGTATATAATAATATCTATTTATAGCAATTATTTATCTGTGCAACGATGAAAAAATATAACAATTATTTTTGTTAAACCCTTCCACTTAGAGCAAGATTGAATGTACACAATTGGATTTACGTAACTATAAACATAAGATTAAATAAATTAAGTAAAGAAGGAATTTATTTAAAATATAGTCATGTTTAAATTAATACAATTTAAATATAATGTAACATTTTTTTTTTTTAATATTTAATATAAAAATAAGAGTAAAATTTCAATGTGAATTTACAATTTTACTAGAATAAAAAGAAAAAAATATTAAATTTGAAGAAATTCGTATAAAATAAAAAAGGAATTAATTTAAAATATCTTCATGTTTAAATGAATACAACTTAAAAGCTAAATAAAAATTACTATTATATTTTTAAACTATAATAAGTACTAAAATGTAGGCAGTATTTTTTTACCTAATTGAATTTTAAACCATAAAAATAAGATTAACTACTTTTTGTATATTATTATTTATTGTACTACTGTCTTTCGCTTTTTATGTAAATCATTTTGTGGTTGCCATCTTTTAGTACAATTTGTATTTTCGATTGACTTTATATTCGAAGACATTTGTTCGGTGTTCGATAATATTTCCTGTATATGTTTAGGGCAATCAATTGATCTATTTTCACTTATAAGAACTTCTTCTAATAAGTAATCATGGAAATAGGTTCTCATTCCCTGTATAAAATGGTCGTTTGGTATTTCCATGGTATCATGAACTTCATTCATTTGAAGCTGTTGGATTTTAAAAACATTATTACTTGAACATAAATTGGATTTTTCTTCAATTTCTAAATTTTTATTTTCGTATTCAAAACCATTAATTGTATTGTTAACACACAAATTGTTTATTTGTTCGTTTTTATAATAGTCCAGTGAGACATTTTCTTTTAAAGAGTATGATAAAAGAAATAAATCAGAATGCTCGTTTTTAGATTTATTTGTACTTATTGGAGGGTTTGTTTGCGAATCCGAAAAAAAGGATATAAATTCTTGTTCAATTAATAATTCATTTGGCCTATGGTCCACGAATTGTTGAGAGGTTCGTAAACCCATACCATAATTATAATCTGGAGATTTATTAAATCCCATTAAAAAACTATTATATTCGGTATTACTAACATCTTCTATAAAATCTGAGCATGATGCCGAAACAATATTGACTTGACCTGTAATTGATAAATCCATAAGCTTATAATCTTCATTAGATTTTAAAGCCTTTTTGTCACAGATTTTAAATTGTGTGCTACTGTTTATTGAATTACTGCTTAATACTACAGGCAAGGCATTAGATAAATTCGGTAATTGTTCAACTGATTTTATAGTTTTTGAATGTGCTGGTTTGGTTTTTGTGCAATTATTTTTTAGAAATTTATTAGGGGAACTAGTTATTTGTTTATTCTCTTTTTCTGAGTATAAATATTTTAAAGAAGATGATTTCAAATACTTTGGAATTATTTGATCAGAATTATTTTTTATTAGCGGGGTATTATAATTAATTAATTCCTTTTTCTTTTTTGAAGTCTTATTGACATTTGAATTACAATTGGTAAGATCAATAGTATCAATTATAACTATATTTTTATCAATTATGCTATCATTTTGTTTTTTTAATGATAGATTTTTTTCAAAAACAACTTTTGATTTATTATCAGACGTAATAATTTGTTTATTGTTACTTTTTTTAAGTTTTGGAACTTTAGGAATTTTGAAAATTGGCTCAGATTTAACTAAATCTAGAGTAATACCAGGTAATTTTTTTAGCTTGGAAATTATGTTCTCTTCAGTTTTAACTGGGGTTAGTTTAGTTAGAGTAACTGTTTTTGGAATCTTTAAATTTGATTCAGTGAAGGGTTGAACCGTCCGACGTAATACAGTTTCCATTTTTCTATAAAATATAAAAATAACAAGAATTAAATAAATTGTAAAAATAATAATAAATAAAAATAATTACATATTTTCACACTACCTATTATTTATCCTTACATAAAATAATACATATTCATAAATAGTTTAATCAAAATAATAAATAAATCACCAAAATAATTAACGACGAATATAATTAAAGAAATAGATATTCAAGGTTGAAAATAATTTGGATGATGCAAATTACATTATAGTATTTTTATAAAGTATTGATTATAGTTATAACTGATATAGGTACCTAGAAAGCAGATAAGATATTTATGAATTTTAATTTATATTTTTAATAACAATTCTAAGTCTTACCAAAAAATACACCTAACTATAATACATTATACTTTATGTACATCGTATTTTAGGAAGTTTATCATTTTAAAACATATTTTTCAATTGCATGCAATTTAAATAATGTTTTAAATTTAGTTCTTAAATATAATATTAGGAAAATTAAAAATAAAAATGGTGAGTTATAAATTAAATATATATATTTTAAAAACTAAATAATGAATATTGACTTATTTTCAATATTATATGTTCAAAATAAATCGTTTTGAGAATGTAATTATACAGTATTCATTTAACTGTCATTAACTGAACACATCAATATTTTTTTAATAGTACATTTAATCAGGTGACCTTAATGATTACAACTAGTTAATAATGTACTGACTAAATCGAATAATT